ATGATCCTGATCTTATGCTGATGTGTACTGATCCAATACAGATATATGAATGCAGGATCTTTCTGGCAGAAAGTTCCTGCCCAAAAAACACCAGTATGGTTTGTATATTGTGCGCATATAAACATGTTTATGTTCATAAAAACTCTTCTAGCTCCCAGAATGCTAAATATAAGGAAGGTGTGAAAATACTAACCAGTAATGCAGTTTTTTTTTTTTTTTTAACTTCTCTAAAAGCGGTGCTAGTTTACCGATACTTACAGTATGTACCTGTTTCTACAGGCACATTAAAAGCAATGGGCTGAATTCAAATTCAGCTCTCCTGGGTCTCTCCCTCCTCATTGGCTCAGACACAGTAGTATGAGCCATTCAGCTCAGCTCTTCTGGGTCTCTCCCTCCTGATTGGCTCAGACACAGTAGTGGGAGCTGTCAATCACAGCTAGTTGAGGAGGGAGTGGGGGGCAGGGCTCCTATTGACACGCAGAGAGGGGCTCAGGAGCGATCATGCACGTGTTACCCCCAGAGCAAGTGGCTTGCCATGGGGGCCCTCATCAGGGGGTAGGGGGACATACATTTACACAAAAATCTCCAGAATTGAGAGGAATTGACAACCTTTTGATATGTCACCTGCAAAAAATATTTCTTTACTTGACTATGACCTTTTTGTTTTTAATGCAAAATAAGTATATATTTTAGGTTAATTGGGATTTAAGTAATTAAAAGGAAACTGAGTGGGTCACACAAGGGCTATATGTTACATTGAGGAAGGGACCCTACGAGGCATTAAAACATCTGCTTTATCTTGGCAAAAGTGATGTTTTATAAGTGCTGGTGACTTCCTTTCTTTTTATCCAGTTTAAAGATGCCTCACAGACTGCTGGAATACGGACATCCGTAGTGGCCTTGCCAGTAACAACCTGAAAATATGTTGTAAAGGCAACATAGTAACTGTGCATACAATAGGCACAGTTGCCAGTCTAATATCTTCATATGAGCAACTTTTGTGTGGCCACTATGTTCTTTAAAGAACTGCATGTTAATTTTGCTTCAAAAAGATATGCAACATTTTTACTTTATTATGAACCTATGGTTCTCATAACCATCTCTAAATTCCAACTAATTTTTATTACAGTGAGGGGAATTTATTAAGACATGAGTAGCCAGAATCTGGAGCTGTGCATGGCAACCAATCAGCTTCCAGCTTTTATGTTAGCCAAGGCTAAAATCTGATTGGAGGCTTTACACAGCTGCTGCAGATTGTCTGCTCCAATGTTAATTCTTCTTAGTATGTTTTAACCACAAAAACTGTGCCTCATCTTGACGCCAAGGAGCAGTAGATGAACAAAAAGGAAAAAAAAAAGGGAAAAAATGCAGAGTATGCACAAGTATTGCTGAATAATGTGTCAGTGTAGCACTGTTTTAGACTCAGGCTTTGTTCTCATCTGCATGCTTGCAGAGGTCTCAGAATGAACTGAGCCAATTAATTGAATACTTACTATAAGTCTAGAGGGCTTTTATTTGAGTTCCACACATATATCCTTTAGAAGTTATCATAGAAAACGTAGGTATGCCTCATTTGTTTTTTTTTTTTTTTTTTTTTTTACATGATAGTTGAGTATCACCTGGTTTTGATTTTAATATATATTCCCTCAGCTGTAATTATGTTAATACAATTGTATTCCACTTTCTGAAGTTCCGTTTGGAAGCTGCAGTACATTTTTCATTTTATCAATATGATTAAATATGAAATATATAATATCAAAATGATTTAAAAATACCCCATATCTTCTCCCCATTTGTTATAAATCATGGTGAGCAGGAAAGTTCTATGCATGATTTCTCTACCATAATTAAATGTAACATTTGCAAGGTGCGTGAAATTTGCCCTTTTTTCTCTGCAGTTAAGGTTTGTCATGCGTAAAATTCAAGGATTCTCCTCAATGTTAATCTTATTCCTTTCTGCTTTATATTCTGTTCTTGCAATGTGGTAAATACAGGCTAGATTCTTTTCATGCTGATCTATGGACCTCAGGTTACTTTGTTTTTTCATGAATTCAGCTTTGTCTTTGGAAACAATAAATCAAAAATAAAACATCCAGTAACCTTTTAAGCCTATAAAAATGCACATTTGTACGAAGGAATATCAGAGGACACCAAGCTATTCCTTATAAATATACCTTCCTTGTGGAGAGGATGTGCTCTGTATGCATAAGTGTGTTCTTCTAAGCTTGTGTATCCCTAGAAAATAAAACTGGCTTGCAAACATTATGCATCCAGATGACCACATAGATAAGACAAAAGGTATCAGGCTCTATGGAGAAAAGGATAACAGAAAATAGAAATCTAAGTCTAGCAGGGAGACATGACTGATTATGGAAGACCAGTTTCAATTTACAATATCAAATACATGCATATGTTAAAATATTCAAAGACCCTATTCAGACAGTAAACAGGGCAATGAGAAACATGGTACCATTTTAGTTATATTTTAGCTTCTTCTGTTTGAAATTAATATGTTATACCATATAACCTTAGCAATAGGAATTAATTCTTGTATACCTTTCCTTTTCTGTTTTGGTTGGTTAAAGTGGAGCTAACCTCAAAAAGTGAGGAATTGCTGTCATAGGACATATCTAGAAGTATTAATTGTGCCTAAGCAGTACCCTGAAAACTCTACCTATTGTCTTCAATTCCTCTTGTAAAATAGCAGTGCATTTGCTGGTATGTGAGTGTGCCCATTTACTCCTGTGCATACAGTCTCATGGTTGTATATCTGCAGCGTGAGATTTCAAGCACTGCTGCCACTACTAATCCTATAAAAAACTGCTAGTTGTCATGTTGTTCTATTTTTGCCTTACAATTAAAGAAGTGCAGCCAAAGCTTGTTTCATTTTCAGCTGACAGGCTAAAGTCTGCTGTCGGTTGACTTCACTCTGCCAATCTAGGCCGGGGAAAGATCCCAACGTTAATGTCGGGATCCACCCAGATCCCTGGACTGGCACCTGGCTCAGCCCCCCTAGCAATCCACAGAGAGTGAGCCAGCTGCTCCCATCCCTCCAGAGCCCGGTGGGGGGGGGGGGGGGGCAGAGCAGAGAGCGTTGACTGATAGCCACCAGCTCTGGGAGCTGAGCAATGCGATCAGCGGTCTTTGATCACTCGGTTCTCAGTCTTAGAGCTGCCGGGGGACAGCTCTAAGATAAAAGTTAAGATTTTTCCTTTTTTTTTTTTTTCTCAGAAACAACACCTACCTAGGTGGATGCAGCATCAGTCCGATGCAGCATCCACCTAGGTAAGTGTTATTTCTTAATAAAAATAAAGGAAAAACCTCAACTTCTCTTTAAACACCATGAAATATACAAAGTAGGTAACTAATACAATCTATGTTGCTGTACAGTTCCTTCCTCTACAAATATTTTTATATTACCAGACCCTTATCCCATCCACTTCTACCTGTGATCACAAGATTGCAATGAAAGCATTATCAGGGTTCTGGGTCCAGGACCAGGTAGAGGGGTCCATGAGGAGTTTGCATCAACTGTACAGGGCTGAAGATTGGATTACAAGGTGGGCTATCTAAATGCCTTATTTGCACAGCTTGGTTTGGACAGATGCTGGGTGCTTTATTGGGAGCTCTTATCTTCGTGCTTCTGTGAGGTGGGATACTCCTTGGTTTCAGTGATGAACCTTCTTCCTCTCCTGGATTCTATCCCGCTTCCTTCACCCCACTTTATATAGTATGTCCAGCACAAGGGTTTTCTTAGGATTCAGTGGAGATGGATGGCATTATTGTAAAGGGACCAGTCTGCATGGGCCCATTTGCAACACTGGATTATTACTCTCCCGCACCTTGAAATGGTGCCCACGAGGGACGTGAGCAGGTGAACTTTGGTGAGTATAAAATACTTACATGTTAATAGATATGGAAAAACAATGGCTGAATAGATTAGATGGGGGTTATGGAGAAGGAGATTTCATTTTGGAGATTAACTTTTCTTTTTAGTTTATGTAAACAGGAAATTGATGAGGTTGGGTGTGTTCTTGTTATCAAGCTACCCAACACTGATAGACAAAATTGAGAACTGCAGTATAATCTTCACTGACTCACGTTAGTAGCCATCCCACAATCAGTATGAGGATTTTGAGAAAAAAATAAGCCATATTTAGGATGCCCTTAAAAAATGTAGGGTGACATATATTTGGCTACAATTCATCCGCAGAAAAAATGTAGGGTGACGCAGAATAAGTTAAATAGAAACTGAAAATTGCTTGAACTGTAAATGATCAGGTACAGCTTTCTCTTCAGCAAGGACGAAATAAAGCAGCACACTAGTGACATCACCCGATCTCGCTCATCTCCTGAATCTAGCAGTCAGGGTCAGAAATGCCTTAAATATTAATGCTATAAAAAAAAGCAAATATTCACTTTTTGAATTCAGGTCCAGTTTGAAACTACAATCCAAACTCCCTTTCCCAATACCTAAATTGTATGCATTTTATATTTTGTAAAATTCTTCAATATTTCCACTGATTCTGGCAATTTAGCAAAACATATGAAACAGATGGTTATATTACAGTAATTCATAGGCCAATCTATATTCGCAGCTTTGGGCCTTAGGTCCTGTGTACACGCCTTCTATGCCTATATTTGTGTTAGGCAGGCGCTGGAATAGAATGTTAAAAATTTGGTTACAGTGGTACGGAGATTTTTCTGACTTTTCTGATTTGTGGCTTCCAGGATTCCCTTAACCACTTGCCGACCGCAGATAGCCGAATGACAGATTCACTGCGGCTGGCCAGATCTGGGAGGGCTTTATATGACATCCTCCCAGAACGCGCCCTCCCGTGCGCCACCGGGGGAGCGCACCTGGCAATCTCAGTGATCGCTGTGTCCTACAATCACAATGGCCTTTTACCACATGATCAGCTGTGTTCAATGACACAGCAGATCACCGGTAATTGCAGTTACCGGTTATCAGCTGCACTTTCCTCACGCTGTAACAGCGGCAATTATCAGAGGACGGATCGGCACAGATAATCAGGGCACTGATGATCAGTGCCGCCCACCTGTGCCCATCAGTGCCTGTCACAGCGTGAAGAAAGTACTGCCGATAACTGGCAGTTGTCAGAGGAGGGATCGGCACAGATTATCAGGGCACTGATGATCAGTGCCCAGCAGTGCCATCCACCAGTGCCACCCACCTGTGCCCATCAGTGCCGCCCAGCAGTACCGCCTGTCAGTGCCCATCATTGTTGCATATCAGTGCCAGCTTATCAGTGCCCATCAGTGCTGCCTATCAGTACCCATCAGTGCTGCCTTTCAGTGCAGCCTCATCAACACACATCAGTGAAGGAGAAAAATTACCTGTTCGCAGAATTTTATAATAGAAATAAAGATAATTTTTTTTTTTTTTTTGCAAAATTTTTGCTTTTTTTTTTTTGTTTGTTTATAGTGCAAAAAATAAAACACCCAGCAACGAGTACATACCACCAAAAGAAAGCTCTATTTGTGTAAAAAAAAATTAATATGGGTGCAGTGTTGCATGACTGCACAATTGTCATTCAAAGTGCGACAGCTGAAAATTGGCCTGGGCATGAAGGGGGTATAAGTGCCCAGTAGGCAAGTGGTTTACAGGATAAGTTCGCCTTTGGGAACATGTTACATGTTCCACAGCCACCGCCCCCCCCCCTCTGACAGATAGTACGGGGAGACTTCTCCCCGTGCTATCTGTCAAATTTGAAAACCGCTTGGCCATGTGGGTCTCCGCCCACACGGCCTCATCATTAATTCGCAGACTTCCGTGAATGAATGAACTGCAAGTCACGACAGCCTTAGTGGCTGTCTGCTTGTAGTTTTCAATTAACTTTCACGGTGCTATCAGAATATCTGCTTCCTCATACATCCCGTAAGTCAAGCAGATATTCTGACAGATCTGCAGGAGACCTGCACGGCATCAGCGATCTACTGATTGCTGGTGCAATGCTTTCTAGGCTCCTGTAGACCAAAATAATAAATGCACATTTTTACCTGCCAAATAATGTGCATTTATTATTTTTGTCTAAAACATGAACTTATCCTTTTAATCTTTATGTTTTGGCAGTGACTATTATTGTCTAGGTCATTTTATTAAACCATGGAATTGAGAGAGGGGCAAGGTTGTAATAGTTTTGGTTATTCAAAACCTAGCTACTTTATTTTACCAAGCCTCTTTTTGTTTTAATGTGGACAATCTTATGTCTAGGTTAATCATAATTCTCTTCTACAATGCAGTTTCATCCATTGACATAGCTGTGCCGTGGCCATCCATTGAAAAAGCTGTGCCATGACTGTGACTTGCATCTACGAGAGTGAAATGAGATAATTGTGGCTTGGTCATTCAAACGGCTGGAGCCCACAAACCCGGTGTTTGTTGCTGTGGAGCCCTTTGGTAGTTCATTGAGTCTTCCTCTCTGTAAGTATATGTTTGTCCATACAATGTACGGGCACACAGATACACAGATAGGTCTGCAGGAGACCTGCATGGCACCAGTGGTCTGCTGATCACTGGTGCAATGCTTTCCAGGCTCCCAAAACAAAAAATAATAAATAGTAATTTTTTTACCTTTAAAATGTATTATTTTTTTTTTAAAAGGTGAACTTACCATTTAAAATGACTTCTGACGAACAGAATTGCTGGAACACATTTGTTAACCAGCGGCTGCAGCCAGTCCTCTTGTCGGAATACACTGTCTAGGGGGAGGGGGATATTCCACAGTCTACCTCCATCAAACTCCTAGTCTCTATGCTTGTGAACGGCTTTTTTTGCACTACTGATGTCAGACCATTATACTTCCGAAAGTCTGTCTGATACCATATGTATGAAGATTCCTAAACCAAATGCCGGAACATTACACACTCATTTCTGACAGTTTTATGCTTCACTTGTTCCATTTGAGTTAGAAATTCCTAAATTACTCATATGCAAGAGGAATGGTGTCCCATCTCCACTCCACTCTTCTTACCTCACAGTCTGCAATAATCCATGCATGCATTTCTAAGTCGGGGCTGGAGATGGAACCTGTGGCACTGCTGAGGTGTTATGGAAGACCAGGACGCTTCAATAGCGGCCTTCAGCTCTTCTCCATTGTTCGGTCTCATGTCTCTCATCTTTCTCTTGGCAATGCCCCATAGATTCTCTATGGGGTTCAGGTCAGGCGAGTTTGCTGGCCAATCAAGCACAGTAATCCCACGGTCATTGAACCAGGTTTTGGTGCTTTTGGCAGTGTGGGCAGGTGCCAAGTGCTGCTGGAAAATGAAGTCCTCATCCCCAAAAAGCTCGTCTGCTGAAGGAAGCATGAAGTGCTCCAAAATCTCCTGGTAGACGGCTGCGTTGACCCTGGACTTAATGAAGCACAGTGGACCAACACCAGCAGATGACATGGTTCCCCAAATCAACACATACTGTGGAAACTTCACACTGGACTTCAAGCATCTTGCAGTGTGTGCCTCTCCATTCTTCCTCCATACTCTGGGTCCTTGGTTTCCAAATGAGATGCAAAAGTTGCTCTCATCAGAAAAGAGGACTTTGGACCACTGAGCAACAGACCAAGTCTGTTTTTCTTTAGCCCAGGTAAGACGCTCAGACGTTTGTTGTTCAGGAGCGGCTTGACAAGAGGAATACGACATTTGAAGCCCCTGTCCAGGATCTGTCTGTATGTGGTGCCTCTTGATGCACTGACTCCAGCCTCAGTCCACTCCTTGTGAAAGTCCCCAACACTTTTGAATGGCCTTTTCCTGACAATCCTCTCCAGGCTGCGGTCATCCCTGCTGCTTGTGCACCTTTTTTCTTCCACACTTTTCCCTTCCACATAAGTTTCTATTAATGTGCTTTGATACAGCACTTTGGGTACATCTAACTTCTTTTGCAATTACCTTTTGAGGCTTTCCCTCCTTATGAAGGGTGTCAATGATGGTATCAGGTCAGCAGTCTTTCCCATGATTCCTACTGAACCAGACTGAGAGACCATTTAAAGGCTCAGGAACCCTTTGCAGGTGTTATGGCTTAATTAGCTGATTAGAGTGGGACACTTTGAGCCTAGAATATTGCACCTTTTCACAATATTCTCATTTTCTGAGATTGTGGATTTGTTGTTTTCATGAGCTGTAAGCCATAATCATCACAATTATGACAAATCACAGCTTGAACTATCTTGCTTTGCATGTAATAAGTCTATCTCATATATTAGTGTCACCTTTTTAAGTTGCATTACTGAAATAAATGAACTTTTGCACGATATTCTAATTTTTCAAGTTTCACCTGTATTTCTCTGAGGTAAATTATAAATTGCTGTCTAGATGGTACTTTGTGATTCAGGGGGAAATGAGGTGGGCACGTTCTACTGCCTGTGCTGGACATGTCCATTCTGCAAGCAAATTATGGTTAATCATTTATCATATGTTAAGATAATCATTCAGTATCTCCTACAAAAAAGGTTTCACACATTCTCAGCTCAAAATTGCAACATTTATGCTTACCGAAACTAAGCAGACTTTCGCAAAGGTGTTAACATCTGTCACTCTAAAGGGGGCCATACATGGATCGAAATTTGGTCGGTTCAGCAGGAACTGGCAGATTATAAAACCATCTATGGGCAGGCTGGTTGTACAGAAGTTGATCTACTGATCGACTTCTGTACAACCATCCTGTCTGTTTTTTCCTGACTATAGTCGGTGGCACTGGTCAGATTACAGTAACTCGGGTGTGGATGGGGAAATCAAATCATTTGTTTTTTCCCTTCAACCCGCTGGTTGAGTGAAAAAAATGAATGTTTGGCCTGCCTAAGCCCCCAGAAGGTCAAAACTAGGGTATCCAGGGCCACTATACTGATAGGATCACCTCCATTGATAAAGTGTGGTCCCCATGGATTCAACATTACCTATCTCCAGATAAAAACTGTACATTTGACACACAAGATAAGCAAGCTTGTCCTAAGGGCTTTACTGTCTCCTCAATCTCTGATCCTCTGCTCCCTACTTATCCTTTTATCCCAAACTCACAATCTTTTCTCTTCACACCAAACATATACCCTGATAATAAAATTTTTAGGTTGATTGCTAATGCTTTTATAAGCGGACATTTTTTTCATTAAATAGAAAGGTCCGATGTTATAACACTTGCTGTAATCCATGTCTAGATATCACTGATTTTTCACAAATCCTAAACTAAAGGTCATTTCTCATTTTAGAAGAGTAAATGTTCAAATGTTAAAGAAAAAAACAAAAAGAAATTGTAATTGGTTAAAAAGTACGGTGCCATATATTTATTCTATTGAGTACACCTGCTGTAATGACAGATCCTGGAATGACTGATTTAAGGGTATTGTTTTTTGAAGACGCACATAAATACAGAGACACAATATCTCCAAAAATATGACAAATATTGTTTGGTGTTGATAAAACCTATTTCACTATGGTCTGACTTTGTAACATGAAAAAACTCTTTTTGAAAATAAAATGTGATTTAAAATATAGTGCTGTTTCAGCCAGTAAGGAATGATTTGATTTAACAATCTGAATGTTCAGATATACTTGCATTACAAATATTTTTTCTATTTGTTACTTTTCCATTTGTGCCTCTTGTGAACCGGTTGTCAAAAACGTGAACCTCACTGTCCTCCAAAGAATGTTCCTTCAACGTGTAGGAAAACCACCAAGTCTTGACCTTTTAGAATTTACCTGTCTACAGCCATCTCTGAACAGGGATAGGAATGTTCTACTCCATCTGTCTTCCACATGTAAAGCAGTTTTAAAATCTCTACTCTTGAATTTTGATAACAATTCACAATGTCAGCCATATAAATCCAGGGTTCAGATTTATGAAACCTTCCTGATAATTGTTCACGTCTGATGCTCTCTGAAAAGCCATCCATATTTTGATTGCTCTTCAGAACATTTGACAGGCAATAAGGAGGCATTATATCTCATCCTCACCACCACACCCAACATAAGCAACTCCATTCACTTGAATGGGTCACGATCAGAGGTCTTACAGGGTTAATAATTTCTGCCACAGCTGTGAAGCAGAGCATTGCAGCCTTGGTGTGTGTACACCCCCAGCCACTGCCTCTGCAGCTAAAGGGGATAGTGGTTGAGGGATGGTAAAACCCTAGCTCAGCCAAAAAGGTTTTATCAATGTTAGAACGAGCCCTAATAGTACATCTGGTCACAGTTCTGTGATCACCACCAGCCACAGTGTTGCCAGTCAGCAGTGTTCAGTCAACACTAGTAAAGTTCTGCCGTCAATTTCAAAATGACCTTTTTTTTTTTTTTCTTAAAATGGTAAATTT